ATTATTTTCTTCATAATAAATTTAATAAGAAACAATATATTTTTATAAAAAAATATTGTATTCATATAATAAAAGTTTAAATAATAAAGATTTTGTTTTAATATATAATTGAAAAAATTTTTATTTTATATTTGCTTTATTGAAAAAAATTATTTGATGAACTAATTTTTAATTTTCAGATTTACTATATTTGTTATTATTTATTATTATGTAATGACTTCCATTATAAGCACAAGAGAATTAATTTTGAACGATTTTATATAAAGATCTTAATTTTTTAAGCTTGTAAGCATTTTATGGACCAGACTGTTATTGTTATCCGGTCTAAATATTGATGATATAGTATTAATTTAATCGCGATAGTGCTCAAATATTGTAGCTATATTTTAGCTGTATTTTAGATTAAAAAAAATATGTCAATCTTTCAGTATAAGTTATTATCTTTGGCCTTACTCACAAGATATTTTTTCGGGATTATATTATATTAACTAATATTTTGTTATATATAAGAACATATCATGTTAATTAACAGATAATATGCGAAAAATTAAAAATATTATATTTGATTCACTGATGTGTACGATTATCAAATAAAAAAAACGTACTAAAAAGGAAGTATTCCAAAGAAATATTTGATATCATGTATGTAGAGACAGATTTCGTAATGATATTAGAATAAGGTTGCAAAAATTATCTTGCGTATTGTTATATAGTCGTGCTTTAATATTGAAGCCAAGAACTTTTATTCATCATTTATTTATAAGAAAATTTGTCGATATCCTTTTAATTGCTAAATAGAAATAATAACGATATACACGTACTGATAATTATAATTTGTATAAATTATATTGTTTTATAATTATGGCGTTGTAAATTTGTGCCAAGAGATGCGTAAAGATAATTAAGAATTATAAATTATAAAATTATTATTTTCTCTGTTTTTTTTCTTTTAGAGTTTTATTATTCTATTTTTAATTTGTGCCAAATTCTCTGTTCGTACCTGTGTTATAAATGTCAATGATCGATTTGTACATTCGTATCTATTTCGAAGAATTAAATTTTTCATTATATAAAAAAACAAATTATGTATATTTATTATTTTAATTGTTGTTATGCTGTACAGTACAAATGTTTATAAAATATTAATATGTCTTTATAGATCAAAGATACAAAATAATTTTTCTCTTAAAGATTAAAAAAAAATAGAAATATCAAAATAGTCTTATTTGTTATCTTCAGACAATCTTCAGACAATTTTAGTATATAAAAAATAATCAAATCTATTATGACGTAAATAAATTATGTATAAATGTATTTAATATGCATACAATTAGAATTAATTCTACAAAAATATTTTGATGGTATGCTTGTAATATAATAGAATAATATAATTATCTTTCATAATTATTCACGCTTACGAAAAGTTCGATTTTTTCCTTTCTAGTCATAATTTTTGCTAGTTTTTGATTTTCATCAATTAATATTTCAAATGTTTACAATACAGATTTATTTGTTTTTAAAGAAATTTATTTTTTTTTTTGAAATTAACTTTTTTTTATATAAAAATTATTTCATATGTATATATATTATTACACTTGATATTTAATCAATGATCAAAATTTTAAGAATAACCATAATAAATGAAATCTTATAAAAATGTGACTAGTAAGGATTTCTAAATCGAGGCGTAATATTTTAAATGACATCTTTGTTCGATATTTGTTCCGAAATTTTTAACAAATGTAACTCTGTTTTATAATTTTTATTCTTATTAATTTATTTCAATTATGTATATTATACTGTCAAGAATTCGACTAATCATTATAAAAAAAAAGAATTAAATTTTCACTTATATATTCTATAAGCTATTTAAAAAATGTTACATGTTATACTCAAAATGAAATAAAAATTATTTATCATTGATAAAATCGATATATATAATGTATAAAATTGATTTTTGTTATTCCGCAATTTTTGGCGGCATGATTGTTAATGTTTTGAGAACAATAGAAGAATTATTTAATATAATAGCAAATATAAATGATAATAATTATAATAAATTTCTTTACATAAAATCATTATCATTTCGTGGTTTGTTTCATGATTGATTAATTTTGCACATTAACATATTTAAAATTTACATATTTATAGTTGACAATATATAAGATATTGAAATATAAATGTGAATTATAATGAGTCACTTTTATAATTTTGATTATAATATAATTTTGATTATTATAAAGTTACAAGATATTAATCCATTTTTATTTTATGATGATAATAACAAAATTATATTTCATAAAATATAATTTTAATCAAATAAGAAATTTATTTTTCAAATGATATAAATATAATAATAAGAGATATATAAGAAAATATGACCGCGTTTGTAATAAAATAAAAATAAAGGATAAATTTTTTATTAATTATTTTAATATCGATATGAAGAAAATTACAAATTTTTTTCAATTCAACAAATCAAATTTTGTTTTTATTTTATACAACGACATTTCTTTTAATGTTATATATATGTATTTAAATATGAATCATGATGTAATGAAAAAAAATAAATAAATAAATAAAAATAATAAAAGAAAATAAAAATTGAAGTATGAATTTGAAATATATATCATTACATAAAGAATTTTCTTCAATTGTAATAGTTTATATAAAGGGAAAGTCTTACATGAACGTAAATTCCTATAAAACAAGATACTTTTCTTTTTATTGATTTGCTATAAGTACTGCTAACAAAAAATTACGTATTTACAGTATATAAAGTAGTTACATAAGTTGTTTACATGTTTATATAAATATATATGGATAGTTAATACAAACATGATCCTTCACGATTGTTTTTTCTATTCTTAGAGAAATATCGCGATCATAAATTGTATTTCTATCGTAGCAAAACTGATATTATAATATATCTAAAATCTGATTTCTAAAATTATATTTGAAAAATTATAGATATTTATTAATTTGAATTTTTAATTTTATTTTTTAGCGCATATCTGATAAAATCCATTATATTATACTTGAAAACTTACACCAACTTTTTCTATCTTATTAATATGATGTAAGAATAAAAATTAGTGTATTATTCAAGCAGAAATTCATTTGATTAATTTTATTTAATGTTATTTATAGATGAACACTTTGTTAGAAATTATATAAAATCTTAATGTTAGATATTAAATATTTCATTTCTTTCCAGTTAAAAGTATCGATATAAAAGATATATATGCGAGGTAAATTGTTAAAAGTCTGAACTTAATATATTTTATTCACTGATTTACATATTTATATAATTCTTATTATGTAATTAATATCAAGACTGCAAATAGAGGACAATATAATACTTGCAATATTTAAAATTGATGTATTATTAAAACTTCTAAGTTATTTTAGAATATGATCTCGCAATTAGAATATATATTGCACAATATTTTATATATTTTGAGAAAGTATTGAAATGTATTGCAATGTTCCTTCTATTTTTCTTATGAAAAATAATAAATAAGAATATCGTTTTAAAAAATATATTAAAAAGACATACTTTATTCATTAAGTGATAATATTTATTTAAAACTTTAATAATATTATATTTTTTTTTAATCAGATTTAGTTCGGACGGAATATATACTATATATTTATAATCTATTTTTGTTATATAAATATTTATTGTTTCGCATTGTGTGAAAATTTAAACAATATGAAAATAAAATATTTAAAATATTTAATTTAAAAAAAAATATGTATAGAAAATACTAACACAAAAAAAGAAATTACTAAAAAAATAAAATTCTTTCTTTCAAAATTTTTCAAGTTTATAAAAATAAGGTATTTAGTTAAATAGGTCTATAAAGGATAAAATATATTTTAGCTTTCACTTTTACACTCTATTTGCAGCTTTGTGATTTTGATAAATATAATTTAAAACATTAGTTTTTAATTTTAAGAAAACATATTAAAGTGATTCCAAATAAATTACTTCTTTCATTAGAGCATAATTTGTAAAATTTTGTAATATATATATTTTTAAAATTGTACTTTACAGTTGCTTAATGTTTTTTAAATTAACTTGTTAAATAATATAAAAAAATTATCTTTTGTTGTTAGCATACAATAAAAAAATGAACTAAAATTTATAGTGAATTATCTTTCTAACATATAAATATATTTGATTTATTAATATATAATGTGTTACTATATGATTTTTCGTAACAAATCTGCATTAGTTTTTGTAAATACACTCAACCAAAACAATACTTACTAATAAAATATGGAACAATAGCAATTAGAGGTCAAAATGAAATTGAAAATTTTTATTCCAATGTTGACTATTCTTTAATCTATAGAAATTATTATTTTTTAAATGTCTTTTGGTTAAAAATTTTTTACTGAATTACTTTTGAAAAGAGTGTCAAATCTAATTAATAAACAATTTGATTATATAAAATATAATTTAACAATAAATGAAAAAAAATATTTTTTAGTCACTTGAATCAGAATATAAGAATCGTAAAAATATTAAAAATATTTATTTACAGAAATAAATAGCGATATAATAGTTTTTAATTAGCAATATTTTACTTTATCGATTTAACACTCCTATAATCAATTGTGGTTATAATTCTATACATCAAAACTCTATCTTACGCGTATATAAATTAAGAGAAATGTTTTTTAATATAAATTGAATAATTAAAAAAGAAAAATTAAGTTATTATCGCATAACTAAAAATTTAATTCATATTGATCCCTCTTTGAGTTCCATATCATATTCAATTTATTTATAAAATTAATAATTTGTTAATGTAAATATGAGATTACTGTGTTATTGATAAAGCATCTAAATTAGCCAACAAGTCTTTTACATCATCCTGAACTTGATTGGATGTGTTCGATAAAGATAAACGCGAACATAAAGTGCTCAAAGTTTCCATTTTTTTGTGAGAATCTTTGTGCTTTTGCAAATATGCCAATAACATACTAACTATATTCTGAACTTCTTCTTTAATTTTCACTATAGCTTCTCCTTCACAATTTTGTAATAACTTTAATTTTGTCTGCGCTAAATGTAATGGATTATAACCATATTGGTCCAAACATAGAGGGTCCGTTCCCGCATTTAAAAGAAGTGTCACCACAGATATTTTGCTTGTTACAGCAGCTAAATGTAATGGTGTATTACCTACAGAATCCCGAAGATTTGGATCTGCACCATGTTCCAATAATAAACGAACCATTTCTGTAGAACCTCTGTAAAAAATATATCATTATTTATATATATATATATATATATATATACATATTATATATATATAATATTGTATTCAATAGACAATACAAAATTTTTTTTTTTAAAAAGTTTATTTTAAAAAAATAAATATTTATTAATATATTATATATTAATATGTTAATAATAGTTTTATATTGATTAATTAAGTTTTTATTCATTTTTATATTTTTATAAATTAATAAATTTATTACAAATTGATAATAAATATTGAATATATTGTTCATTTACCTGCAAGAGGCAAGATGAAGAGGAGTTCTTCCTTGTGCATCACAAGTATTAGGAGAAGCACCAGAATTTAAAAGAGTTCTCATCATTATGGTATTGTTTGTTGCCGCAGCAATTCTCATTCTGTGTTCAATGAGACGGGTATGAACATCAAATATAGGAACAAGATGATGATTTTTACGTGCCCCACTGACAAATTTTATTTTCCTATAATAAACATTTCCTAAAAAAAAAATAATAATATATATAAAATATAAAATTGAATAACATCTAGATAATAAATAAAAAATTTTAAATATTAATATATACAATATATATAATAAAAAATAGTTAATATATTTTTCTTTTAAATTTGCATTTTTAATTTTGATTAAATATAATCATACTCAAATAGTATAATAGTTATGTATATAATCATTCATATTTGCTTGATATATTTTAATTATTTATTATTATGAAAACTTCAAACAAAATTTATAAATATTAAAATAAATAATTAAAATAATATGAATTTGTTTTAAATAATATATATAAATGTTAATAATAATATATATTTAAGAAATTTATAAATATAACTTACTATTTACTAAAAAAGACCTGGCTGTTGCTGTTTTAGATTTACATCTCAAAGGAAACTTAATCTCTAAAACCTGTAACAAATTACATTTAATGATATATTTTAAACATTAAAAATCAATTCCTATGATTGTTATGATATATCTTTAATAATGAAAATCAACCATTATTATATTATTTATTCATTTATTATATTTTAACATAAATTAATACTAATATTATTAGTAAATAAAATTTATTTTATAAGAATTTATTTAAATAATTTAATTTTATATTTTTAATACAAATATTTAATAAAAAATAATTAAAATTAATTATTAAAATATAAATACATATAAAAATAATATTTTAAAAAAAAACAATACTTACATTATTAGGAGATACATCGAAACGTGGTCTTGAACTACTTGTTGGTATGGAATTTTGGACATTACTATTTGATAAACAAAGAGACCAATCTGAACTAAATTTCGTATGAAGAATGCCCGGTCTAATCTCTTCTACTTCATTTTGATTATTGGTTATCATTGCAGAAGCTGAATCATTATTAATTTCTTCGGTTACTATATCTTCATTTTGAGCAATCGAACTATCGTCGGAGTTATTACTTGTTTCAATACCAGAGTCCACGGATGTCATTTTGGATTTGAACGTTTAATAACGTTTCACGTACAAAATCCTCTATTTTCCACATCCAACTTATACTATGTTCATAGATACACACAACTATGTACGAAAATAATAATAGTTATGAAGTTTGTTGATAAATAGCTAACTCATTTGCCATATTGCCACCCTTATAATTTTTCAACCAAAATAAAATCACAGACAAAAATTTAGCATAATTCCAATTTTATGGGAATTTTATGTTACATATATTAAATTATTGATCAAAAAATTAGAATTTTTTATAATTTAAAACAATAATTTTTATGATTTTATTTATAAAAATGTTTCTAAATTCTAAATTATTATTTTAAATGATATAAAATTAATATAGAAATACAAAAATATCACGTAAGAATTATAATCATAGACAAAATACAAAATAAATTAACATTTAATAAAAATTTTATATCTTATACTCTAAAATACTAATAATGAAAATACAAAAAATAATTGCTATATTTATTATGATTTAAAATGAATATAGCAATTATATTCAATTCAATTACAAAAGTTGATAAAGTTAACAAATTTTAAAAATTATGTTTTTGATTTATTCTTTCATAAATATTTGTATATATTACATATATTAAATTATAATCATAGATTTTTTAATTATTATATTAATACATAATAAAATTAATCAGATATTGAAATTATCTCTTAAACACAAAATTTTACAAAGCAAATGAAAGGACAAAAATTAGTTATATAAAAGCAGTGCCATCTTTAAAAAGAATTACAAATAAAATTATAAACTATAACATAATTATAATTATAAAATATAAACAAGGAAAACAAATAATCAGAGAAGGACAGAAATAGTGTAAAAATATTGAAATCAGCGCCATCTTCAGAGTGCCGCAAATGAAACTCACGAAAAAAGAACAGAAGATAGTAGAAAAAGGATAGAGATAGAATAAGAATTGGTCAATGGTGCCATCTCTTAGATACGAAAGATATCTTTCTCATTTTTAGAGTAAGGAACATTCAAGAGATGTCACTATATTTGATTTCTACTCAACTTTATCTTTGTAAAATTTTAATCAAAATTCTATTAAAAATAAAGATATTTAAGTTTTTAATTAATGTTAATTTTGTTTCGATTCAGAATTATTGAAATAGAATGTTTCAAACCATATATTATATTATATTTAATTAATATTTATATTTATAATATTTATATTAAATTTTTTTTTAATATCGCATTTATTTTTTACGATCATACATTAACAGCTTATTATGTTTTTCAATGGAAAATAAAGAATATTGTTACAATTGCTTTCATATTTTAATTAATAAAATAAATAAAATTTCAGTCAAAAATAAAGCTCTATTAAAAATAGACATTCAATCAATAGGTTAGACGAAGAGAGGAAATAGATAGAGAAGGACAGAGATAGGATAAAAATATTGAAATCAGCGCCATCTTCAGAGTGCCGCAAATGAAACTCACAAAAAAAGAACAGGAGATAATGGGAAAAAGATAGAGATAGAATTAGAATTGATCAATGGTACCATCTTTCGAGTATTTCGAAAACTTTTATTCAAAGTTCTTTTAATACTCAAAAGATGACGCTGAATTTCGATTCCTAGTCTACTTTATCCTCTCTTTTGAAAAAGTGTCTTTGGTGCCTGAGAGATGGCGCTTGCAATCAATTCTTATTTTCTATCCTTTTCCCATTATCTTCTATCCTTTTTATTTGTGTTTAATTTGCGGCACTCTGAAGATGGCGTTGATTCCCGAATTTTTATTATATCTCTGTCTTTATTCTATTATTTGCTTTCCTTGTCTATATTAATTTCTATAATATTCTAGAGATGGCGCTGCTTTTAACTCATTTCTATCTTTCTTTTACTATTTACTCTCCTTGTCTTACTTTTGGCAAATAATGTTTTTGGTGCATTTACAATATTAATGATAATCATATTTTTTTTAAAATTATAATGTCTTAATTTTTAAAAAATATAAATATTATATTCTCAATATCTTCTTTAAAACAATGATTTTGCAAAATATAATATATCTTGATATATAATTATATGATGATATATTTTAATGCAAATATTTAGTTATAACATTTAGTTAGTGAAATTTAAATTTTATAATAAAATATTCTGTTTCTTATTTGTAATTTTACATTGAAAATATTTTCAATTCTAACTATTATTAATATTGCAATATAAGATATGATTCTAAATTTCTAACTAAATCGGTAATATTGAGAATAATACTAAAATGATTAGAATGTAATATCCACGAAGTACAGAAAAATGTATTGAATTGTATTTAATCTATATTGTATATTATCTATGGTATTACTTTTATAAAATATTATAAATATTTGTTAAATATTTGAAATAATATGTTATTGTTTAAGATTAAAACAATATTTCAAATAAATCGGCCTACAAGTTAGTATATCATAATGTTTTAATTTTTATAAATTAATTTAAAATATATAACTATAAAAAATTGATTTTTATCCATTAAAATTTATTTAAATATAAAAAAATAATAAAAAATTGTAATAATATTATTTGTATTTTATTAGAAATTTTAAGTTTATTTTACATCATTGAAATATTTACAATATTTATAATATTTACAATATTTAAATATATTCTTAAAGCATTATATTTTTTAGATTTGACTGTGTTTATTAATAAATTTCATACATCTTTTATAATATATTTAAATCAAAACTGGAGAAAAATGTAAGAAAAAATTTTATATATAAAATATAGATTTATAAATTGTAATTTGTGTGTAATGTTCTAAATGAGATATAAAATGATTCTAATAATTATAGGAAAGGTTTATCAGCAAATCCAAATAATAATGGTTTATTGGCAAATTCAAGTGATTACTCTTTTAAAAATAACGAACCTGTTCCATATGGTTCAGGACAATTTAAACGTATAAAAAAACATCAAGATTTTATGGTACTTTTAAATAAGTTTTTATATTTAAATTTTAAAATAATATAATTAATAAAATATTTAATTTACAGAGAAGAATTATTAAACTAGTTGGTGAAATTGATTATGCAGTTGAACGACATGCTAACTTAATCAAAGAAAAGAAAGCTCAAGAACAAAAAATTTTGGAAAGTAGATTGAAACCTAAAGGTCAATTATCAATAAATAATGAATAATTATAAACAATTTTATTCATTTTTCAATACTTTTTTCATAGTTTAATTTGATAATTTATTAAATTGCAAAAACAAATTTTTTAAAATATCAATTATTTTATTTTAAATTCATAACTACAACTATTTGAGCTGATAATCAATAGGATATTTTATGAGTCGTGGAATTTTATCTCTTTCCTCTTGTGAAATATCACATAATTTAACAGGGACAGGTCTTAATTGCTTGATCTGATTGGTAACATTTTGTAACATGTCTTCAGGAACATTTTCATCAGGAAAAATGTGTAATCTTTCCATAGTATATCTTCTTTGTAAATTTCCATCCATTGCAGAATAAATTGCTTTCTTAATAATCTATATATTATCATAAATGAAATATAGATAATAATAAAACATACTATAATCTTTTAATATATTTATATTTTATAAAAATTTGATAATTACCAAAGTAGGATCTTTACTATGTAATTCCCAAGCAAGTGTCCAAGAAGCACCACCAATGTATGTAGTATGATGAAAATACACCCGTTTTTGCCATTCATCTCCTCGTAATGCAATATTTTTACTATTTATTATTATTACATGATCACCACATTTATCTATATAAAAATATAGAAATATTTTATTTATAAATGAAAAATATAACATTCTATTTCAAAATATCATATAAGTTAAATTTATTTATTATTTATACTATAGTAATATATTTGATATATATGTGTTACGTAGATGAATATATATAATGTAAATATATGTAATTTTACTTACTCAATGGATGATATATAGGTTTGTATAATCCCATAAGATATTTTTTAATTAAAGGTGCACTTTGAAATGGATCTTGCCAAGTTGCATCAAATATATGCCAAATAATAGAAAAAGTACCCCAATGCTATATGTAATATAAATGGACCATAAGAATTAAATAAAGTCATACATAAAAAATTTAAATCATTTTAAATTATTATAATTATATACTATATAACTATAATTATCAAATTATTTAAAATTATTTATTATTATTAATTAATCAATATTATAATCAAAATTATTTATTATTATTATTAATCAAAATTATAATGTTAAAAAGGAATCTCTATAAAAATATTTTAAATGTTTTTACTAAAATTTTTTTAAAAAATATGAAGAATATTCATTAACCTAAAATTTTTTGCAAAACATAATAAAACTTAAATTATTTATTTTATGTAATGAATTTTTATAAAAATAAAGTAAATTAAAAAAAGTAAAAAAGTGCATTATGATATAATATCCAAAATATATAAAACAATGTTGTAAAAAATAAATAAATTATTTAAAATAATATACCTGTCCTTTGCGAAGAAGAGACATTGTAATTCTTATTCAAAATTCAATTTAACGTGTAAATAATAATATATTTTTTTAAAATAAAACTAAACATTATATATTTATAATATTAAATTCTTATATCAAATCTATGAGATTCTGATAACGAAAATAATATTGGTAACACTGTTTGATAATACCAAAAGTCATTAATCTTTCTCAAGTAAATACGCGCGCGAACATAATTTTTAAGTTATTTTTTTTATATGTTTAATATCATATACATTTTAAATTAAATTATAACAAATATTAAATTAAATTTAAATTAAAAGGAATTACTTAATAATGATAATGAAACTATATTTGAAAAGTTGAATTAGTTTATTAGCATAGACGAAATATATAATATATAAATTGTTAAAAGTAATTTGCATAAAATATTTAAATATAAAAAAAGTTAAAGCCATAACAAATTAAATTATTTAAATCTTCGCTTCGTATGTTTTTATGCATACTTTAGTGTAAATTTTTAAAATGTAAACTTATAATAATATATATCGAAAAATTTTAAATTGTAGCAAAATTAAAAATATTAGGATCTGTTCGTGCAGGTATACTTCAAAAGAATATAAAAAATTACAAGATAATTTACAATTTAATAAGTATTTTAATGTAATAATATTATAATAATAATATCAACTAATAATGTTATTAAATACTTTATACATATACATAGTAATGTATTTATAATTATTCGCATTTTATTATTAGAGAATTATTAGTATTTAATAATAGCAAAGATTTTATGTAAACAGATAAGTCTTTTTTGCACGATCAGTCCTTTGTTATAAAGTATAGTACATGTTGTTATTCCAACTGTGTTTTCTAATTAATAAAAAATTTTATTAACATATCAACACTAGTATTAATTAAACAGTGGTAAACTATTTTTTACGGTATATTATCTATGCGTGATTGTACATATTTATCTATCATAAATTTATTTTGTAAAAATGTTTTATATATATTATTATTTTTTCTTATTTGTGAATATTAATAATTTTGAAGTTACCAGTCATGTTCAGGATTCTATAAATAGTATATAAATTTTTGATTTCTTATTTCTATTTTTAAATTCCATTATATTCAAAAGAGGAACTTGATTGTTCATTTAGGCAAGTATAGCACCAAGAGGCAAAGATTGTTTTTTTAAAGCAAATGCCGTTAATTATTAATTAAAAAAGTTAATAAGATAAATATAAAATTATTATTTCATTCAGTAATTACATTAATTATACAATGATGTTTATTACATTTAATTTAATGTGTGTAAATTTTAATGTATTATTTCAACAATATTAATTTTTCATAATTATGAATAAAAAACATTATTATTGAATGTAGAAATAATATAAACATTAACTTTCGAATTTTTTAATCTTTCTATAACCAATAAATTTTATTTTATAAATTAATCTTCATTAAAAGTGTACAAATTTTCTTGTAAAAACAATAATAAAAGAAATTCTTTTTTTTTTTTCCTTGAGAGATTCAAATCATAAACATGAAATTTATAAATAATTTTCATAAATATATATTCATAATTCTTTATATTTTTTAATGAATTAAATACTTGAATTTTATTTAAATTATTATTTAAAAAAAAAAATCGGATAAATCAGGAATTGAATAAGAAAATATTAAAAAACAACGAAATAAAATTATAACTAATAACTTGCATTAATATATTGTACAAGAATGATAATAAAGCATATTGCACAATATTAATACACTATATAAAAATTTTAATCATTTAATTGTTTTTTTTTTAAATTAAATGTACTTTTTAATTTAAAGATAGTTACATTGTTTTTAATACGCTAATATAAATTATATTAATAAAAGTATAGAATTGAATAATTTTTAATATTCTATGAGATTCAATTATTTTATTTTATTTTCAATAATTTCTTTTAGATTTTAATTGGTTTTTATATTACGGTTGTTATATTGTAATTACTGAATTGATATATGAAATTATTAAATTAAGAAAATAATACTTAAAGGCAGCAACAATTTTAATTATAATAATCATAGTCATGATGATAATAATAAATATTAGATTTCTATTTTATATAATATGAGAGAGAGAGAGAGAGAGAGAGAGAGAGAGAGAGAGAGAGAGAGAGAGAGAGAGAATATATATTATGTAAAAAGTTTCTTCTTTAATTCATGTAGTCGGCATTTGCATTTTTGGATTGAATATCCTGAACATATGGTCATGAAATATAAGGAAAGTATATCTAAAAGCGTATTATTTAATAATAATGCATCAAAAATCATTATTCTGCATTAATATATGCTTCGCATTTCTTTACATATATTGAAATATCGACGCATCTTCTGATTAAATATCTTTATATATATATATATAAATGCAAATTATGTTTCATGACTATTGAATTATTATAATGACACAGTTGGTTTCAAATATATCATAGCAGATCACAAAAGTTATGTTTCTTGGGATGAACGACTAAATTGTTCTAAACGCGTATAACATATTTATGTAAATGTTTTTGTATAAAATGCATAATAAGTATTTCAAAGTAATTTCGATAAAATCGACTTCAATTTTTTTAAAAAATATCTTAAGGAAAAATTTTCGATATACAAATTGATGTATATAAAACAATATTATAGAAATCGATGTCATTCCAGACATGATATAACAATTTTTATACAGTAATACCTATTATAAGAGTACTACAGTGTAGATTTCAAAATAATCTACAGTAAAAAAATTGTTCTATATGCATATAAAACTTTCATTTAATTTATTAATTTGTATATTTATGTATCCGTATATTTATTTGTATAGAGAAAAAAAGAGAAATATTAAATAAAAATAAATTTAGTAATCTATTTGGAATTCTCTTTACTTCTTTCAAAAAAATTTCCTTCACCATATTATTTCAGAAACTGTATCGTTATATTATTAGCAATAAAAAATTTATGTAATTTCCAGTCATTGATATAATATGATGTATACGCGTATTCGCTGTTACATCATGTAAATCCAGTTACATAAAATCTTTGGCAAAGGTATGATTAATCATCGACCCATGATTCTGTAAATATGTATCTAATATTATTGTATTCCATAAACAGCTACTCGCCATTTGTCATTTTTTACATAATTTTGATTTCTTCCAGTATGAGCATTCGGAAACGATCTTGCTCGTGAAATGCATCTAGTTGACAATATTTAATGCGTTATCTTGCATCTTTCAACCGACACTATCTCCCATTCTTCCCACTTCTGTTTCTGTTTCGTGTTCTGTATATTCCAATTCTTCGTTTGCCTCAGATTCACCACGTGCATCTACAAATTCCTGTAAAATAATATTAAATTTATAATACGAAAATAATATAAGAAAGAGAAAATAAAAGTTAATATATTATAATTTATGAATATATGAATATATATATAATATATATATGAATATAACAAAATATATTTGTAAGAAAATTAATTAAAGTATCTTATTATATTTGTATCTTAAAAAATTAATCAAGTTAATTTCGTAGTAAATTAGAAACTCTTACATCACGAGTGGGATCGTCAATACTGCTATCCTTATTTAAAAGTTCACCTGAAAATCATAAAAACAAAATTAATTATCATATTTATGTAAAGATGTACTGATTATGTACATCAATAAATGTACATCAACCTACATTCTAAAAAAATTGAAAAACTAACTGGGTTCTGTTTGTGTTTGACTTGATGCGGTGCATGTTTCTGAAAATTCACGACGTTGTATATCTGCATCAAG